GATAGATAGATAGATAGATAGATAGATAGATAGATAGATAGATAGATTAGATAGATAGATGATAGATAGATCGATCGATCTTTGGTTATTCGGGTTTTCTCCCACGTAAAATTGGAAGTATTTTGGCGACGTTTCGCCAAAATCTCAATCGTCATTTTCAGGCTTGTGTCTGAGATTTTGTGAATGAGATTTTGTCAAAATACTTCCAATTTTACCCGGGAGAAAACCCGAATAACCAAAGATCTACATACAAACACCGGCGAAAACCTCAGAAAACAAATATATATATTATACATACACACACACAAACACATATATATATATAGACCAAAAAGGCAATCCTTACAGTGAAAGATACATATCACTGCCAAACTGCACAGTCTCTCAGTCCTCCCACCCCCTTAAAAGATAATTGAAGCATTCCTGGTTTTGACTGAATAACCTATGTCCCTAGACATTAATTTTGAACTCAAAGAGCTTGAACCCTGCAGGAGGCTGGTGCTGTAATTTCAAATTCTAAAATGTGGTTATAAAATGCAATTAAGAATGTCTTCATTATGCCTATTTGTTCTGTTAGTGTAAATTGCATATACTAAAGCAGCCTTTTGGACCTCAGGGACACCAAATTCATAATTTTAGATCCCAGGGAACCACTAACCAGATCTGTGGCGTGGCCTAATTTGTGGGTGTGTCTTGGTGGTCATGTGACTGGCTGGGCATGGCTTGTATGTAAATATTATAAATATTTATATAAATATTGAATGTTTTATAAAAAAAGAGCAACTTTTACCCAAAATCAGGCAAAGCAGGCAGGCAGATTGAGTTGCTCACAGAATCACAGATTCATTCAGAGATCTATCTATCTGCCATCGGCTAGCTCAGTCTCTCAAATTTGCTTGCCATGAGTCTACACTGAATTTGCTTGCAAGCAAACCTTCAGTCCTAAGGGAGGTTCGGCTGTGTTGAGCCAAAGATCTAAAGACCAGCTAGAAAGCAAGAAATCCAACCATTTCCTGCTTCCTAGCTAATCTAAATCTCCCAGCAGAGCAGAACAGATGATGGTCAGAAAAAGGAAAAATAGCAATTTAGCAAGCAAGTTTACCGGGTAAAGAGTAAGTGGGTCCCCGCGGGCGGCGCAGCCTTGTGTTTCTGCGCAGCCTGGATTGCTTTGTGGGGGTGCTCTGGGAGTGAGATTTCTCTGCGGCCCATCAAAATTTTCTCACGGCCCACCAGTTGGCGACCGCTGTACCAGAGGACAAGATCTGAATTGATATGTTGAATTCTAGGAATAAATGATGATGAAAATTGGACCATGACTGTATGTACATGTTGCCCATACATGCAAGCGTGAGCTGTATTATGCTTATTTTGAAGTAGTTAATTCATACAGATATGAATGTCTTTAATAAGAGACTATCAGCTGCACAAAGAATAAGCAAACTCACAACTTCCCTGCTTTTCCTCTGTAATCTCATATGGCACCTCACGTAATGCTATGAAACTGGCAACAGATCTGAAAACTTCTAGGAAGGAGAAAGAATTGCCAAAGTAATGCCTTTTGGTTGAGGATCTGTATACTGCACGAGTCAAAAAGAGGGCTGTGAAAATATTTACAGACCCCTCACATCCTGGATATAAACTGTTTCAACTCCTTCCCTCAAAACGACGCTATAGAGCACTGCATATCAGAACAACTAGACACAAGAACAGTTTTTTTCCCGAAAGCCATCACTCTGCTAAACAAATAATTCCCTCAACACTGTTCAACTATTACAAAGTCTGCACTACTGCCTTACTGTTAATCTTCTAATTCACTCCTTATCACCCATCCCTTCCCACTTGTGATGTATGACTGTAACTTTGCTGCTTGTATCCTTATGATTTATATTGACAGTTTCCTAGTATGATTTGATTGTTTATTGTACCCTATGACTATCATTAAGGGTTGTACCTTATGAATATTGATGAATGTATCTTTTATGTATACTGAGAATATTTGCACCAAGACAAATTCCTTGTGTCTCCAAACACACTTGGCCAATAAAGAATTCTACAAGCATTTTCAAATATAGTAGTACATTGTTCTTTTGTTATCTAAAGCATTGTAGGTCTGCAAATTAAGTTGATGTCTGAACAGACTGCAGATACAACTGTAAGCTTAATAATGGTTAGAAGATATAACAGCTTCGGAAAAAGTGATTTACAGTTGTAACTATCACACCACCCCCATGATTCTGTAATTGTAATTTGGGGTACTTGGAAATCAGCATACATTTACAACAGTTGCAGTATTTTGTAGTTATGTGTTTGTGATTTGTCGGCTTCCAACAAGCAAAGTCAATTATATAAGTTAGATTCACTTAGTGACTGCTGTAACAATTGCCATAAAATCAGATCCGGTCATATTACGACTCGCTGAATTAGCACATTGCTTAACAATTGAAATTTTAATCTCAGTTGTAGTCAAAAATCAAGGACTATCTATTCTTAAGTATTACTTTTCAATGTATTCAACGTCATGAATTCATTTTAGCATCACAGTCCTGTTTGATTTATGACTAAACTATTACAATATTTTGTACATAGGTGAAATACTTAAAAAGCAAACAATTCTGAGAATGGCAAACTTTATTTCAAGAAAACGTTCTATATTTTATAATATCTAGTGTCTTATTTAGAAGATGATACAAGGCAGTTAGGTAAAAAGTCAGTATACATTCATATTTCCAAACATTACTACTCTTATTTACTACTGGAATAAAGGAGGCAATTCCTACTTTGGTAAGTCCTCATTATAATCAAAGCAAGACTTTCAGCTTCTTTTGAAAAGTTCTGGAACAAATGAAGAAATCTCTAATGCTTCCAAATATAATTTTAAATCATGGATTATAAAAATAAATCCCTAACTCTACCAGGACCAGAAACACAAGACATAATTTAAAAATGGCCTTTTCTGATATCAAAAATTATGAAAAGCTTTGATCTTGGAAAGCTTTTTTAATGTATCTATGATAATATTTGATCTATCCGACTTGTTTTATGTTAGATGCCCAGAACTAATGTGCTAAAGTTGTCCTATGCTGGCATAAGGTCTTGTTGGAAGCAGGAAGACTTCCATTTGAATCTTACTGAGGCTTCAGCATACTTGAACTGTCTTCAATGTCACCTACTCATTAGTTCTTTTGGAGTCGAAAAAAATCTAACCCTTGAAACTTCCAAAATCTTCCTACAATCTATTTAGAAAGACTTTTTTGCTGCATATGAACCCACCCACCCCCTTAACTGAAACCAAAATATTTCTGATTAAAAGAAATGTCCCGTAGTTTGGGACTCTACTCAGTGCCATATGACTAGACATCTGGCCATATAACAGGGCTTCCCTCCCCCTTCTTGTATTCATCCTACTTTCACTAAACCTCGTTCTTTGACTTGCCAGAACAGGTGGTGGATTATATAGGTAACTGCTGGGGAGGGAAAAGATACCTTCCACCTGTGAGGTTGTTCTGCCGATAGAGAACCCAATTATCCAACCATCTTGCAGCATGCATTCAAGAAGTCATTTATCTGAGCATATTCAATGTTACATTACTCATAAATTATGCAAGAAATGTTCCAGTATTATTTTGAACTAAGGCATAATAATGCCAGTAAAATTATGATGCTAGTAATGTGTTTAGGATCACTAATATAATTTGTACAATACAAAACATGTGGCTGTTTAAAAATTCCGTTGCCAAGTATAAAACTGGAAAGAAACTTTGTGTATGAAATCCCAGGCAAAGGACGTTAGCATGCCATCTTTTTCTAAAGGGATACTACACATTAGTACACAATTTTTATAGGATACTTATCTGATTTTCTAGAATAAATCAGATTTTATTTTAAAGGTAAGTCATTACAACTTTGGGAAACACCCTCCTTTATTGATTAATAAGAAACAAAGTGGTGCATATTTCAATTTATTCCTCATGTTCTCCACTTCATATTTACCATTAGAAAAATAGAAAATTTGCAGTAGCCTTCATGCGCCACATTCAAAGTTAATGATGACACTGGGGGAAAAAGGGGCTATGCAAAAATTGGCCAGCTCAACTACTGTTATCACATGAAGGATCTTTCTTCCTCTTCAGCTTGCAAGAGCAAGGTTTTTTGGTCAGGTCAATCTCATCAAGCTTGATTGAACTTAGCTGTAGATTTTGCTGTCCCCAACAATGGCTGATCCTCAGACAAACATGATGACACTTCAATCTGCAGACAATGGAATAACACTGATGTGTAGAAAGTTATCTGGATAACTCATATGTTCACTTAGCCATTGTACTGGCGTCTCCAACATTGGTTCTATTCCATGAATCATCACTTGAGTCTTCTTTTCACCATCTAATTCACAGAGAGAGTGAAAGAGAAAGAGAAACTGCTAAGCTAGCATTTGTCAGATTTAAAAAGAAACAACTATATCGGAAGTATATGATACTTAGTTTAATAGTGAAATTCTACAGAATCCTTGTTTTATTGCTACTGATTATTATCTTACCACTGTTCAAATGAATTTATAAAGGCACATGGAAATTCTAGTAAGTGAAGCTTCATAACATTATCAAGAAGCTGCTGCTATTTTTTTAAAACCACTGTAAACCACTGTAATTAAACATATCAACCTTTCTCTCATTGTGCACATTGAAGTGAAAAACAATAGTTTTAAGAACAGAGCTTCAAAAGATGTCTTAAATTCAAAGGTTTTAAATTAATTTAAGTGGCAATAATTTACAAAGGGACAAATTTTCCATAATTGTTTAATAATTAACTGGATCCAGACTAAACAGTCCTAGAGCAGACTGAATGAAATCATTTGGAGCAGTTCTTCAAGATTTCAGTGGATCTACTATAAAATACAACTAAAACAGATACAATCTTGTACATGTCGTAGAAATGAAATATGTACAAATAATATGGGGGGGGGTTGTCAATACAAGGTTCAGAGATTATGACAAGAGCTTGGGCTTGGGTAGACACCAAGGTTGGTCAATTTAATTTTGGTTTACATTTTATTGTAGAAAATCCAAATCAAATTGCCATATGAAAGCTGCAATGGACTTTTGCTACAGTATTTGGGGTCTTTTGAAAATGAGATTTGCTCAGCTCTGCTTTCTAGGGATTTTTTTTTTTTTATGTTTTCAAAATGATATGTGGAGGGGATGAAAATATGGCTTTCTTAATTGGGATGAAGCTGTAAAGAGACTATGATTAATTTGTACGCTTATTATATTGCATACTTTTTATATTGTATCTGTACACTTATTATATCTGTACACTTATTTTGTAGAGATACTCCTGAGTAAATAATGCATATAATTTCAAAATGATAGAGAGTTTTTTCCAAGAGGAGCCTTCACAATTCAAGAATTTCAATATGGATTTGATTTATTGGAACAATTTAAATGAGCATCTTACATCAAAGAGAGGTCCTGAAGAGAACGTTCTAAAATTCTGGGAATTAGAAATTGTGGGCACTTTCATCAAAAGTTTGAAGTGAATTGTATTAAAAACTTCAGTGTGGCAGAAATAGCTACTAAAAATTTTATATTATTAATACGATAGATCAACAAACAAGAGTGTCCCCATTATTTTAGAAGACCTCCTAAAACCTTGTGAAAAGAATTTAGAGGTTTAAAGGTTAATACTTCTTGTTTCAAAATATCGAAGTCAAGACCCTAGAAGTGGCAAGAAGATAGCTAAGAACTTATTTATACTTCACAAATCTGTTTGGGATTTTTCAGAACAATGACTTCAACAGTGCTTCGCTTTATTTGTAAAATTCCTTTAAAGGGAAGTATTCCTGGCTCTACTTTTATATACTTTTGAAAAGTTACAGAGAAAAATATTAAATGCAGATCTCAGAAAAGACAGAGACATACAAGATGTGATATGTAATGAAATATAATAACAGTGAAGACAAGATACATTTATCTTTGATTTATTAAATATGGCAAGGTCTTTGTGTAGGTCATGCCAGAACACACAAATTATTAAGAGTAAGCAATACACTGGAAAACAGGATTATTCTTCCAAGGAAATTTTAGACAAAAAAGCAGCTTGTATAAGAACAGAATTTGGAGGAACAGAATAGCTTAAATGAGAGTGAAAGAAATGTGCATTTTCATCATATTTGTTTAACTTGTCTAGGAAATAAATTGACAGAATAATGGACCAAATCAAAATAGGAGGTGAAAATACCAAGAATTAAAAATAAGCAAATGATAACGCTTCTGAAGAAAGCTCATTATGGAAGTAAAAAATGGAAAATGAAAAATCTGGGTTAATATTAAGAAAACTAAGACAATGTTAACCATCAAGCTTAGTTCATTAACAGTTAATAGCAATGAAGCAAAAATTAAGAGATAATTTTATTTTCTTGGGCTCAACAATACATGAAGATGGACAGTGCACTATATAAGTACGGTAAACAGGAGATTAATACCGTGTTTCTCCAACAATATGACCTCCCCCAATAGGAAGACCCAGCATGTTTTCTAGGCATAAAATGAAATTAAGCCCCTCCCCCCAAATTTAGGCCTATTTTAAAACATGCAAAATGGGGGGAAGGGTGGGGGGACTTGTCGTTAGGAGCACCCCGCGGGCAGCAATTCCTCGCCACCAGCTGCTCCTAATGGGCGATCATGGCAGAGCGTGGAGAGCTCCCTACTCCTGCCAAGCACCTTTGTGGCAGACCCAAGACCTTCAGCGCCTGCCACTGTTGATTTCTCTTCTGCCCATGCCGCCACCGCGTTTGAAACTGCCACTTCCACGTTTGGAGAACCACCGCTGTTTGGAGCACCGCTGCCGTCTGGAGCTGCCACTTGTGCATTTGGAGCTGCCGCTGCGTTTGGAGCTGCCGCTTCCCCGTTTGGAGCACTGCTGCTGTTTGGAGCTGCCGCTTCCGCATTTGGAGCTGCCGCCGTGTTTGGATCTGCCACTTCCGCGTTTGGAACCCCACCGTTATTTGGAGCACTGCCGCTGTTTGGAGTTGCCATGCCCACATTTGGAGCTGCCGCCGCGTTTGGAGCTGCTGCTTCCACGTTTGGAGCACTGCCGCTGTTTGGAGCACCGCCGCCATTTGGAGCACCGCCGCCACTCCAAACACAGCAGCTCCAAACGTGGAAGTGGCAGTTCCAAACATGACAGCGGTGCTCCAAATGGTGGCGGCACTCTAAATGGCAGCGGCACTCCAAACACGGAAGCGGCAGCTCCAAATGTGGCGGCGGTGCTCCAAATGGCGGTGGCACTCCAAACACGGAAGCAGCAGCTCCAAACGTGGCAGCGGAATGGGCAGAAGGGAAAGCAACAGCGGTGGGTGCCAAAGGTCTTAGGTCTGCAGCAAAGGTGTTTGGTGGGAGTAGGAAGCTCTGTGCGCTTCGCCATGATCACCCGTTAGGAGCGGCTGGTGGTGAGGCTGCTCATGGGGCGCTCTAGATGAGGATGCAAGGGGGGGGAATTAAGTCACCCCCAAAAAGATGGCCTAGCCGTTTTTTCGGGGTTCAAAAAAATATAAGACCTAGCCTTATTTTATGAGAAACACGGTACTAGGAGAAAGGCAATGATCAACTTAGACAAGATAATGGAGATAAGAATATTTTTATGATAAAATAAATCAGAATAGTCAAAATCCATTGTTTTCTACTAGTATCATATGCTTGTAAAAGCTGACACTAACAAAGAGCAAGAGAAAATAAGATAGGTATACTCAAGTTATAGATCTCAAGTTGATTGTTAAGAATTCCATGGATTGATTTAGCCTGGATAAAGACTTATCCCATGAAGTGATGACCAGGAAACAGTAGGATCTAGATTCAGGGTAAGGGTTAGGGCTACGGTATATGCAGCAAGTAACAATTGAGAAAGAAACAAATGACTGACTATATGTCTGGAAAGACTAAGAGAAACCGAATCCCTGAAAGTTCTCAGAAAAGTTGCGAATTATCTCTGTCAAGATAGTGTTCTTACAGTAGTGAAGAATTAGGCCTGATTTAATGATTTTTAACTAAAAAGCTATTAAAATTTATTTTAATATGCTATTATTTTAAGATTTATTTTGTTTCTTTTTTGGCATCTCTTAATTGCTGTGCTAAATATATGTATTTTATGCTATTAAATTTATGTATTTTAATTGTTAAACTGAATTAGAGGTTTGCCCTGAATAAATGTTGGAAAAGCATATTCAGCATTACTCCAACTTTTACCATACAACCATACCTTACACCAAACTAAAAAGTTTAGCCACTCTGAAATGTTCTCCTAGCTGAAAAACATGTTGAGGGAAAGGGTGTGTTTATTCAAATGTTAATAATTTGTCAAGTCATTTTTTTCTCAACGTATTTTTATGTCCTATAACAAAATATAAAAGCAGAATCCTATTACATTCTACAATAAAGTCATTTTATGCTATTGTATTAGAAATGCTTTACTTTCATTAATTAATAATAATACTTTATTTACAGTCACAGACCGAAACACAAGTACAACAAAAACTTTCATTAATTAAAAAAAAACCAGCTCATTATTTTCCAAATGTTCACACTTACAATATGAGCAACAATACTGATTAAGATTCTTAGCAATTTGTTAAAGACAGTAGTCTGCTGGTGGTAATAACTGATATTTGAACTAAGACTTGAACTTAACTTTACTAGGCATTCTATAGTAGTTTAGACAATTCACCAAATCCACATAAATAAAACAAATGCACAGTGAAATGTATAAGGGGGGGGCTAGGTAAAGAGCCATTTAGATATTTTCAGAAGTTTGTTCAAAAGCATTTTTCTTTTTTTGTGGATCAGTAAAATTTTGCCTAATCAAATCCACTCCACAAATAGCCCCTGACTAAAAGGGGCTAAAATTCTAAAAGATGTCAGCCACAGCCATATTGGTGACAGCCAGTGGTGTCAGATGACAGAGGGGTAACTGAGTCAGGATATGGCCACAGCAAAAACATCAGACACTAACTTTAAAAGGGCAATTAATCCTACGCAAAAACACTTGTGGAAGAGGGAATGAGATCAAAATCTGAAGAATACGCTACATGATGTAGCAGTAAAAGTGTGCATTCAAGCCTTGATAGCTTTTATCTAAAGCTAACAAACAGAAGTCTTATTTATACAAATAATACAAATTCAAATACTTCCACCCAGCCTTACACACAAATCATGGCAAATGACATGAGGGTTCAACTAATTTTGAGTAAATACTAATCATTACTTTAAAACATTGTTGAATAATTAGTGGATACAAACAATTATGTTCAGAATATAAAGCAAAAGAGAAGTAGCAACAAAAGAATACTTTGCTGCTGAATTTGTTTCATTTCAGGTAAGGACCTTGGTTTATGAGCACAGAAACCACAGGAAAAGCTCACCATAATTACTTTAAATCATGACAGCCTGTTGGCAAGGGATATTTTTTTCTGTTTACTATCCAAGCAATTCACAGGAAGTGTTCCTTAGGCCTCTAGCAAGTGCAATGTGACCAAACACCATCCTCTTTACAGATCGTAAGAAGAGAGTTTGTCCTTATAATCTGTACTATGTTTCAGAGTTCTGCGAATCTAAGCAGTATGGCGTAATTATACGAAATGTTTTCCCCAGCAAAAACATTGGGAGGAACCCTTGAATTCTTGTTGACCTTGTTGTACACCTCAGAAAGTATAACAATGACAATCTGTCTCCACATATTAAGCTCCATGCTGAAAGAGAGATTTGGGGTATAGAACGACTTAGTGATATCTACAGATTAGAGTGCTGTAGTTGTCAACTAAACTTTGTTAACTTTTAAGAAAGTAACCTGTAACTTAAATAAAAGTATCCCAGCAAATTCTATCATATAAAAAACCAATGCCATATTCTCAAAAGAATGGCAGACTAAGCAATGAGAGAAACATCAATGTTAAGAATAATTTAAAAAACAAGTTGGATACTGAATTAATTCAATTCATTTAATCTGGAAAACATTTATGGATTATAATTCTGCATACAGACTTGTAGCACATTCAAAATTTGGGTCTCTCCTAATGTAACTTGTTTTTAAAAATACCAGATTTTGTCTGACTTGTTATGATAATGAAACTTTCTCAGATTAGATAGAAATTCTTATTGTGTATTTATTCTGATTGATGATTATATTGGCTGCCTTCACTGATTAATCCTTATTTATTTTGTATATCTTGTAAACCTCTATTTCATTTCTTCTCTTTCTTCTTGGTTGTGCTTCCATACATTAACAAAAAGAAAAGAAAAAAAAATAAAATTCAGGTAATAGTAATGTTAGACTCATCATACTAATCCTTAAATCAGGGATACAAAATTATGCATAAGAGCTTGTAGATGGTATGATAAATTCTGAATTGTATTATAGAGTATTAATCTGAACATTATGCAATGCTTTTTCAGGAAATATGTTTGGGTCTTAGGTTCTTTCTATTCATAGATGATCATAGATTGTTCTATTCATAGATAATATTGGTCTTTATTCCGCCTATAATCATCCAACATATATACATACCATTCCAAATGTCCCTGAAACTTTAGGAAGAGATTTACAAGGGTATAAAGGGAAATGAATGAAACACTCTTCTCCTCATACCCATAATGCCTGAAACTCTCTAAACCTGAGGTTCACTCAAGAAATGACTGAACAGTTCATAAATGTGAAATAGTTTGAATCAATTGATTCCACACAATGAAACATAACATAATGTAAATAATGCATTCTCAACTAGAAAATGTTGAGTTGTTGTTTCTGGACATCCTCCTGAAGCTGATTTGTCTCCTCTTCCCTAGAGGAACAAATTTCAAAAGCTGCAAACTAAAAAACAATTTATTCTGATCTTGCCAAACCTAGAAAAGGAGCAGAGGCTATATAGGCTTGGCAGAGCCTTCTCGTCGCCCAATTAAAAATCCAAAATCTGATTCTATTGCTTCTGCTATTTATCATTTATATTTCATGACAGGTAGTCCTCAAGTTATGAGCATATTGAGCTCCGAAATTAGAGTTATCAGTTGTGTCAGTGATAAAGCAAGTCATCATGTGACTGGACCCAATTTTATGACCATTTTGGGGGCAGGCATTGAACAAACACCAAGATCATTAAGCAAACAACATGGTCATTAAGTAAACCCACTGTTCACCGTGAGGCATTTCGTTTTTTTTTTTATACTGGAAATGAGATGTAAAGGCCAGTTTCTGGCAGAAATATCATAAATCGTGGTCACACAACTGTAGGGCACTTCAAAAAGCCATAAATGCAGACCAGTTGCCAAGAACCAAAATATGGTCTCATGACCTGGAGATGGGGGAAGAGCGAGATCAGAATTTCAAAACTAGGTTGTAAGTAGATTTTGGGGGGGTATATTGTAACTTTAAATGATTGCTAAGCATGGGGTCATAAGTCAAGGACTACCTCTATGCTTCAGTGTCATTTCAAATTTAAGATTAACACTGTAACTCTCCAGAAAAAAAAGTGGTTAAAAAAAATCAAAATATTCCCCAAGCTCCACCCTATAAGCAAGAAAAACATATTCCATTATGTCTCTTAACAGAATACCTTCAGAATTAATTGCAGTGGGACACACTTCTCTTAGGAGATCACCCAGTGTATGTAGCTGTCCATCTACAGCAACAGGACGGAATAGCTTCTGTATAAAAGGTCGTTCTGGTGTTGTCTAGAATAAAGTGTTAATATTAGACAAAGCTCAATGAGAATAAGCTATACATAATTATGTTACAAGAGCATGAGTGGTAAAATAAAACATAGCACATAGCAATAGCACTTATATAGAGCATCACAGTGTTTTGCAACACTTTGCTTCTCTAAGTGGTTTTTACAGAGTCAGCATATTGCCCCCAACAATCTGGGTCCTTGTTTTAATAACCTTGGAAGGATGGAAGGATGAGTTAACCCTGAGCTGGTGAGAATCAAACTACGGGTGGTCAGCAGAATTAGCAACAGTTATCCATGTCTTCATTGCATAATAATTAAAAATCAACTATGTGTGTGTGTGTGTGTGTGTGTGTGTGTGTGTGTGTGTGTTTTCTTAAGTTTTCGCGGGTACTTACATGTATGGTATTCAGCTTTATTCGGGTATTTTCCCACGTCATTGTAGTTGTGCTTTTAAAGTTGTAGCAACGTAGATTCTGCCGAAACATTGCTACAACTTTAAAAGCACAACTATAATGACGTGGGAAAATACCCGAACAAAGCTGAATACCATACATGTAAGTACCCGTGAAAACTTAAGAAAAAAAATACACACATACACACACACACACACATATACACACACACATATCCTATGCTAAAGATATGTATCAATTTTTTTAACTGCAATTACAAGGTGCTCTTTTAACTTTTAAAGTCATTAAGTGATACAAGGCCTGATTATTTATGGTGGGACATTTCAGACTGAATTCTGGTCTCAAGTAGTCACAAGGGACTAAGGGACAACAATAATAAAAAAAATACCTGTCCACAAAAGACTATGCTTGAAAAGCTGTTGACCTAAGGGACCATATGGGTATATCTGATCAGTGATAGAAAAGACCCTAAGGTGATCTGACAAAAAAAAAAGGGAAATACAACTGTTTGAAGTTTTGATTGAAAAGCAACACTGTGAAGCCATCTAAATACAAACGTGCATAAAAACTAATTTATCAAATTGCACTAAATAATTCTGCAGTGGTTCCAAATTAGATTATTATTACAAAATAATGATCTATATCAATTCAGCTCTTCAAATCATGTAAAAAAATTGAATTGACTCTTAGCTGAAACACATCTTCAGTGGAAAGCCTCCCTTATAGTTGCTACTGGAATTTTACTCTTAAGGAGTTGGGGCACTTGTCCGCATGTTTTTGAGTTGCTTCATAATTATTTTAGGTATCACATATGTATTATTTTTAACCCATAGTACCTAAAGAGTTCTGAAAATGGAAAGTTGGAACATCAAATAAAAATAGTTTCACCAATTTAGTCAGGGAACTTAGTTTTATTTGAATTTTAATAAAGTTTGTTTCATTTTGAAGTCTCCTTAAAAGAGCCTTGATTCTATTTTGAAAGCTAGTATTAAAGAGGTAAAGTTCAGACTTCACCCACATATAGTAGATTTTTAAAAATATGAATGTTTTTTCAAAGTAACATGTACCATTACACAGTAACTTCTTCCATAGGTAAGCTGCCTAAATACTACTGTCTTCTTCCTGAGAACACTGGCTAACTGGCTTTTAAGCAATATGTATAAGCCAAACAATTTATACAGGATGTAATCATAACATAAAAAACATAAACCACAAATTGTAATTCTTAAGAAATGAAAGCCAACAGACTTACTAGTCTTTACATCTACATAAAAGAATGGATTTCCTAATTATATTTAAACCACAGCAAATTGTCTTAAATGTTAAACCCACACAATACCCCTTATGATTTCCACATGTCAATTTTTTAGTCATACAAAAACTGAAGATCTTTACATTAAATTCCTACATTACTTCCTCAGTGTACCAAAATATCAGATTATGCGCACTATCGTATTGCTTCTAAATAAATAAAATATCAAATACAGCATTTTAACACTGCTGAACTTTGGTTTAAATTTGATTCCAATCTTTTCAAATGACTCAATTTCCTAAAAACAGATCTATGTAATACTATTTAACCTGATGTATTAAGGTTAAAGATGTATTAAATGTATCTACAGGCTATTCCTAATGGTTCTTATTATTGCATCTTTTCAAAATGCTTACAGATCTCTTGCATTATAAAAAGTTCTGTCTCTTCATAGATATCAACAACAAACTGACCAACCTGTAGTTTCCCAGATTCTCCTCATTCTTCTAAATTTTGGGACACTTCCTGTCCAATAATCATTAAGCACTACACTGATTGTCCAAAATTTTCCTCTATTTAGCTTAGCTGAGGGAGTAGAAGCAATGAAACCTCAAGAGAAAATGACAGTGTAAGGAAAAGGAATTCCTGGAAAGACTATTCCTAGAAATTCTGTTTTGACTTAAACCATGTCAGGAAAAATGTGTTTAACATTTCTTGTCTTCTTGAAAGAAGCTTGATTTTAGCAAATGTTTGTGGTGTTGGGAAACACCCAAAATAGATGTGCCTGAGTCTGAAAGTGGGAATAGCTTTCAACGCAATCCCTTGAAAAAACACATAGCTCCTTTAACCATGGGAAGAGAGATGCTTCATTTATGCTATAGTGTTGCAAAGTCTTTCTTTCAGATCACAATCTTATTTTGATTCCTCATCACAACACTGATCACAGTACAGGTAGTCCTCAACATACGACCACAAACCAGACCAAAATTTCCATTACTGACAAGACAGTAGTTAAGTGAGTTTTGCTCCATTTGACCACCTTTCTTGTCACAGCTGTTAAATGAATCACTGCAGTTGTTAAGTTAGCAACAAGATTATTAAGTAAACCTAGCTTCTCCATTGGCTTTGCTTGTCACAAAAGATGATCACATGACCCTGGGACACTACAACCGTCATAAATACATGTCAGTTGCCAATTATCCAAATTTTGAACATGTGACCATGGGGATGCTGCTATGGCAGTAAGTATGAAAAATGATCATAAGTCATTTTCAATGCCATTGTAACTTGGAACAGTCGTTAAACTAATGGTTGTATGTCGTGGGCTACCTGTATTGCTCTTTTATTCCTTTCTCTAGTTATTTTTTTTAAACCCGAAGTCTCTCGTGAACCTTACCATATTCACTTGCATTTTTGAACAAATATGGATAACTCTGCTTTTCTTCTGCCTTTTCTGTTTCTGCTAATCTTTTTTTCGATTATTATATCCTTGAATTGCTATATTCCAAACAACAAAATCATCAAGTCCCAATTATACCATTTAATTTCACTGTTAGTACCCCAGGGAAATAAACTTTATATTAATTATATTATCAAAAAAATTTACAAGCACAGTATGTTTTGCATCCCCAAATTTCTGATATAGTAACAAGCAGTTGACTAAGTTTTTTTTAAAAAAGGAAGAATGGATAGAAAGAGAAGATTTTAAACCCATTCTATGCCTTTAAGCAGAAACCCATATCTTTTTAGTGAAATTTACAACAAGGATGTAGGGGAAGTCAAATAAGCAAACAGATTAATTTCCATGATTATATGAGGAAGTGGAAGCAATGAAACTTCTAGACAAAGTGACAGGGTAATGATTGTAAGGAAAAAGATTTCCTGGAAAGACTACCCCTGGAAAGTATGTTTTTAAAACAAACTGAGTAAGATAAACTTTGTTTAAATAATATCAGGAAAAATGTTTTGCCCAGAAATGGGCAAGCATCTTAATTGTATTTCTCATTAATTATTTTATAATTATACCTTTGCATTGATGACAAAGAATGTTAAACAGAATTGTATAATCTTGTTGTTATATTTTTCAACCACACCGGACTTCTTGGAAATTTGTCTCATGCGAAACTAATATATGGATGTTGATGGTGTAAAGGTTCAAAACAATTGTAGAAGACATTATCTGTCCGGTTGTCTTATTTAATGTACCACTATAAACTTTACATTTCAAATATTAAATGCAGCTACCTAAAATATGATACTGACACTTTGGCAGCTACTTTCCTGAATCAAAAATATACCCCCACAAAACCACTAGCTCTCTCACTATCAAATTTCTACCCTGCCTATATCACCTAAGTCATTATGGGTGATTCACTACTTAGCTTCCCACCTGGATAGTTACAGATCTCTTCTCCTCAAACTAGATTCATCCTGGCTAAGAGGCTAAGACTCATGTAGGGAGGGGCTTCTTGTAGTTCCACATTGTTGAGGTGTCAGAAGAGCTGAAGCCAGAAGGCACTGCTTGTCTGTAACACATAAATGCTACAGAATGGACTCCATTAAGATCAAACTGCCCAGGTCCCCTTGTATCTTTTAGGAACAGGGGTCGCCAACCTTTTGGAACTCAGGGACCACCAAACACCAAATTTGGGAAAATCCCAAAAAAAGTCTGCAGGAAAATTCCCCACCCAGTTTTCCTACCAATTGATCATTCTTTATTTGGGATCACAGGATACTGTCTCTAGCTTCATTGTAAAGGGAGGGGAAGAGAGAAACAGAGAGAGAGACAGAGAGAGAGAGACTTTGGCTTCATGCAAGGAAAGCAGCAGAAGCAGCAGAAGTCTTTCTTTCTCTCTCCCAAACTCCGCCAGAAATGAGTCTTTGTGAGACTTGTCATGCTGGCACAGCCTCTTGGAGCAGGATGCCTTTCAGGGTTCCAAAGACTCATTTCTGGTGGAGTTTGGGGGAGAGAAAGAAAGACTTTTGCTGCTTTCCTTGCATGCAGCCAAAAGCAGAAGAAGAAAGAAACAGAAAGAAGCAGCCCGGTAGCCAGGCCAGGCATGTGGGATGAGTTCCCCCCTCCGCCCTTTCCCCACTCCCCTCACTACCTCATGTTGTTTGCAATGTAAGCAATGCAAGCCTTGTGTTCCTGTGCAGTCTGGATTAATTAATTGTTTTGGTGAGGGCTTTGGGGGTGACATTTCTCTGGGGACCACCAAAATTTTCTTGCAGACCACCAGCAGTCCCAGCCCACTGGTTGGCAACCACTGTTTTAGGAACAGTGTTAAAAACAATCCTTTTTTTGAATACCCTATTTTTTTCTTCCTTTTTTTTTCA